ATCTGGAGGTGGGTTTCAGACAGGATGCCCCAACAGGACTGAAGGATGGGTCAAATGCAGAGAATTTCCCTCAAAGGTGATTAAAAAGTATGTATAAGAATGATGAAAAATTTGGATCACCATAGTGATTTAAAGGGTCTATATTGAACTATTTTCTGATCTATGTGTGTTTTGTTTCTCTCAAAGCTCATTTCCAACTTGTGATGTCATGTGGTAATACAGGAAGTGCTCCACTGTGATTTTAATCTTCTTACAGCATCACTAGAATTATTTGGATACAGACCTGGAATTTCCTTTCTCTCTACTGAACTAAAGGAAGCTGTTTGGAGATGTAGACAGACCAATAATACAGGATTACGAAAACATGTCTGAATGATAAGTATGTTTTTGATGAGGTCATAAATTATTAAAGTTTAAAGCTCACAAGAGTCAATTTTGCATGATATAGGACCTTTAAAACTAAGTATTATAATAAATGAAGAAACAGTCCTCAAAATGTTGCATAGGTCAAGAAGCTGAAATCCAGGAATAGGCCTGCCCTTAACCCTTTTGCAGAAGTGCTTCTTTACAACAAGTTTTTATAGTGTTGGCTCCTTATATTATTATGTTGTAGACTGTAATAAGTAATACAAAGTAGTTCAAAGGAGTAAAGTATTGTAGAAGCAGTAAAAGTGGTAGCATGAGTAACAGGCAGCACTGTACTTTGAATTGAGTACACAATATTCTTGCAGCAGAACAAAGTGGCCTCCTCGCCCTACAGGGACACATACAGGAAGGAAGAGCGGGAGAGGATCTGTGTGAACAATGGCCCTGCTGCCTGTGCACATCCTCCGTCTGAGCAGAACCATCACTGAGACTACTGCACACACACACCAGTAACACAAACAGTAAGAGAAACAGTAACAGCAGCAGTGCTCTGATAATGACCTGCACAGAGCCAAACAGCAGACATACTCCACCTCAAGAACTGCTCCAAACCAACTCAAGAGGACTGAGAGCGAGGGCTTTGTCTGGGACACAAACACGCACCAAACAACAGTGTAAAGAAATTCTCCATGATTGTTTATGTTCTAAAAAATGGAAACCTTCATAATAACCCACTACTCAGAGGTTTGATCCTAATCTGGAAATGCGCATGCTGTTTTTGTGTCCTTGGGTAAGACACTTAAGTTTAAGGTACACTTTATGGTCTCTGTAGGGAAATGTGTCCTCTGCATTTGATTCTGCATCTCAGTGACACTGGGGCACCTCATCAGGAGCTGTCAGGGACCATCTCCATGATGTTGTTGCTAGGCTTGGTCAGGAGCGCCTTAGCTGAAGGATTGTACTTGTGGTGCATATTTTGGGTTGATGGAAAGAACTGAGTGTCCAGAGGAGAGAAACATGCAAACTCCACACAGAATGACCTCGGAACACATGAGAGTTAGCCACAGTGCCTGAATGTGATGTGAGTGAGGTGTTATTATAGAACAGAATTTATGGTATACTGTGTATATTGTGTAAAAAAAATGTATAAAAAAATTACATAAAATAAATAAATAAATGAATGTTTTTTAAATGAAAATGGCCAGGGGTGGGGTTTATTGACTTTTATTTTTTCCACTTCTTTTCGAGCATAAAAGGTCTTGTGTTGACTATCTGTAAAATAGATTTTAAAAAGTGATGTTGTAATGTAATGGTTCAAAAGTGCAGATGGCATAGACTGACACTGTGCTGTTGTCCTTACAGTACATTATCATTACAGTGTGGACACTGAACTGAGTGAATAATGTAATGCAAAGAGATCTAGGTGAACATTAAAGCGTTTGAAATCCAGTGCACTATTATTAGGCCTATTGCACTGTTTTGAGGTACTTTATGGATCCCTGTTGAGGGAAATGCTTTCTCTGCAGTTGACCCATCCTTCACCCAGTGCTGCCAGGCCAGCCTGTCAGGAGCAGTGAGCTGCTGTTGTTTGAGCTTGGGCACACATCTCCAGATCTGGAGCTGGACTTGGCCAGGACTGGAGGAGTTTATCTATATGGTGCATGCTGCTTTGGGTTGATGGGAGAAACTGGAGTGAACAGAGGAAACTCACCCAGACACAGGGAGAAAATGCAAACGCAGCTGCCACTGTGCTGTGTATTGTATTACAACAATGTCAAAAAACAATGCTTGGTCAATGCTCCTACAATTCTAAAGCTATGATTTCTGCATAAGCTTGTACTATAGCAGTGCTTTTGAAAACAATTCACATTCTTCACACTTCTGCTATAGATGAGTTGGATGACACAATGAATGGTCTGTTTGATGAAACTGTAAAGCACAAATACTGCTGTTTATCAACTAAATGTTCAGTGCACTTCTATTTGTGTGAACATTGTGTCTGTTATATATTCCCCCATAAAAGACCTGAACTCTATAGAAAACATCTTTGGAACCGAAATGGGCCAAATTATTATTATAACTCAACCTAGAAAATGGTAAAACATTTCCTAGAGTCTTTGGTAGCTGGGGATGTTCTGATGAATATGAATGGTTGGAAATAAAATGCCTGAGTCAATACAGGGACAGTGCAGGGACCCAGGTGACAGAGGAGGAGCGCCTCAGCCGCCCCCGGGGATGGACTGGTTATTAGGCTGGGCTTTAGCTCCATCCATCTTGTGCAGTCTGGGTGCAGGCCATTGACAATATGAGCACACAGACTGGACCAGAATACAGATGTGTGCTGGAGCAGTCTACCCCAAAAAGAGGTAGCACTCCCAAACACACACGCACGCACACACTCACAGAGGCTGTTTCTGGGTCACAGCTCCAGAGAGGAGATCCAAAAGTAGGTTCATCGTGAGGGAACACTCAGAATATAGATTTGAGACAGGAGGAACACAAAGGCCAGACTGTTTGGATGTAGTCAGCGGTGATGCTTACATTATGGAGTTACATGTTTTACTGATATGTAATGCTGCCATATCTTCAGATATTCAAATTATACTTGGTTTTCACACACTCATTCAGGTCACTGTATTTACCTGTTGCTTTAAGTCATCCATGAAACATGTTCATGGAAAAGAGAAGGTTTTAGACCCTCCACCTAAACACATACCAAGCACCCCCAGAATATCATATGTTCACCAGGGCACTTGTCCAGTTGTTTAGTGGCCTCTTGTGGTTATAGGTTTATATTATGTATTCACATTTACAATGAAAGAATGTGAATGTGTGCTGTTGTAGGCCTAAAATATGATGTATTAATAAAATGAATAAACCAGTGTTTGACCAAACGACTCATTGTTCGAGAATTTTAGATATTATTAAAGTGTAATTGTACAGCTCTTTTGTTTGTCATTTTTCACAGGGTGCTGAGAAAATTATAGTTCAATTATGACTTATTTTTGCAACACTAATTTTATGTCCCCAATTTATTTTGAATTCCCATGTTCAGTGAACAATTAATTACAGCCAATCAATTTTGCATAAACAACCCACACTCTGTGTTGTTTTCCATTGTAGTGGGAATGAACGACCATGTCCTATTTCATTTTGATAGCCTCATTTAGGACACACTCACACAACAGAGCTGCTCCTCTGCTCATAAATACTGCAGTTAACCTGCTATTAACATTGACCTCACGAGGCTATGGTTTCTCCCAGCATGCACCGTGACTCATCACATGAAATAGTCTATGTTTAATGTTTTAAACTATGACATGCATAAATGCATGCCTTTCCATCACAAAAAACTATTAAATATATTTCCCCAGAGCTCTCTGAAGGGCTGATGAATTGACAGTAAATTATTAGACATGCTGTAGTAGATATAATGTAAATATGTAAAGTTTTTCCAAATGTCTGAAGGACCAAACAAGAACTCATCTGGCTTGAATGTAGACTTTGTTTGTTCATTTACCAGCTCATGTTATGCACTTCAACCTTTAAAGAAACTAGGTCATTGTAAATTGCTGTTGCTAAGATTTCATAAGATGCTACAAATGAGATCAAGGGTCAAAGGTCATCGTGGATTGCTTTTGGACAGAGGCGCTAAACTCCCAGGAGGCTTCATAAATGTCAAATGGATACCAGGGAGCCCGCTGACACTGTGACAATCCTCAGTTTATGTTGCCTGGCATGCTCCAGGTGAACTGTGTGAGGCCAAAAGGATCGTTCTAATATAGATTCATAATGTACATCAACAGCGCCATCTAAGCACCTTATTGTGTTATTACATGTCCTTGATGCAGTTAGAGCATGATCATTCTAGACTGATATCACCTATGCAACAAGTTACGGCCAACGAGCTGACGTATTTTCATTGTATAGATCCGTTTAAAATACTAATAATTATTATTCAGCCTTGCTTCTGACATCTTGAACAATGTCGTGGAGAAATACATTTTATGTTTTAATTTGTAATGTGTTATGTTCTCCAGTAGATGGCAGTGTATGCATGGTTATAGACTGAGAATAGAACGAACAGAGTGGATATAAACAAAAGATAATCTCGTAAGAATTAATAAAAAATGAATAATAAATGTACTTTTATCATTTTGCTATAATGGAATACTTACATATAGTTAAGTCCTATTGGAGAAAGTTCTGTTTAGGAGAATAAAACAGAACTTTAAAAACAGAATTAAAAACAAACATCTGGCAGACATGTAGAATGTTGGTTGAAAAAAAGAATTGGTGGTGAAAACAGTGATCTGTAATAATTAAGTATGAATAGTTGATTTCACAATAATCTGTGTTCTAATTTGTCTTTTCCTCACACAAAGAGCACAGTGTACTGCGCTCCAAACATGTGGCAGAATGGCTCAAAGTGGCAACACCAAAAAGCAGCTGTCCCTCTGACATCATCACTAGAGCGTCCAGCCCTTTTTAGGTGGCAGTCTGCCCCAATGCATTCTGGGAAGCCACTGGGACAAACGAAACCACTAGCTTTTCTTTAGTTACAAACCCAATGAACTCTGGGAACCGGTTAATCTCCTTCTCCCAAACAAACTGAATGATGACAGACATCTTGAAAATCTTAAAATGTATATAATTGACACAAGAATTCAGGTACAACAGCAAATGAGACATTTTTGTATTTTGAACCTTTCTGGCATCTATTGTCACTGTTAAGCACAAACTCTTGATAGATTTCTGAACAAAATAAAAGCAATAAAACAAAAACAAAAAAACCCCAAAAAACTAATCAAAGTTTTCTTTTTCCTCATGAATTGGCATTCTCCCATTTAAGGTGTGGCTCAAGTGGCCCACACGTGCCATTTATGTACAGTGTCTGCATCCACAGCAGCCCATAGTGGCCTGTGGAAGCTCAGGACCAGTGGTGTCTCTGTGCAGACCTGGTAAAAGTGCAGTTTGTATTCAGGGGAAGGAGGGGGGGACACATGGACAGGACAGGAGAGAAGGAGGAGCTGTGCAAATTTCATCGGATGACGTCACGGGCCGCGCACTGGAAAAAAATGGAATGTCGCCATTGCAGAGTCCATCGACAAACTTTCGAATCTCCCAGAAATGATCACACATTTACAAAGTGGCAAAGGCAGTCACAGGCAAGTCGAGTTTCAAAGCAAGGATGAGAAAAACACACGACTAAAGCACTTGGAAAATAAAAGGGTTTTCTAATAATGTTCTGACAACATACGTTTAAAATGACAAGCTGAGATGAGCTGTGTCAAACCATCTGCAGAGTGAATTTGAAGTATCCTGATGAAGAGTTTTCATGTATATCCCTAATATCAGTTCACTGTTGCATTAAAGCAGATCCTCCATTCAAAACTATACATTCCTTCTTTCTGTATTTTAAATCAGTCCAGTACATTTCTTTTGCCACTCAAACAAGATTCACAATGCTCACTTACAATTCCTACAGTCATATTTCTCCATATACACACACTGCTGTACTCCCAAGTCAATATATTTCAATAAAAAAAACAAACATCAAATTTGTTTACTCAAAACAGTTTCTTCTCATCCGTGCATGCAGTTTAAATCATGGTGTCCTGAAGATGTTTTGCAAAAATACCAGAGATTTGGATGTGAGCCATTTTCTGAGCCAAAGTATGCAACGCAAACTAAGCGTGAGGTGAGATGGGTAACCTGCATGTTTCACAGAACTATCAGAACAATGTTGGAAAAGATTTACTACTGAAAAAAAGTGCTACATAACAAAATTGTTGAATCTGTGCTACACATTTTAGAAACTGTAACTTTAAAATGTTATATTTGCAAAACTCGAACTCTATGAACAAATATGTAGAATAAATGTACCTAAATAAAACCTTCTTTTGCAGTTTGTCAGAAATGTCAGATGGCTTGATTTACTGAAAGTGCTGTTATAAAGGAGTGGCCGATACAAAGGCGGTTGCATCTTTTCAAATTGTTCTTTTCTCATGGCGTCAACACCAACGTACCGTCAGAAACACGTTACAATCTTTTAGTACAAATATATTCTGAAAGAGCCCAAACACCGGTAAATGGTATACAATGTGAAAAAGACCAGCTCTAATGGAAAAAAAATAAATCAAAGCAAGAGAAAGTCTGAAGAATTCTATTTCTTCCAAGTTCATCCATTTTATCCTTGAAGCAGTTCTTTTCTTCTTGTTCCGTTTTTTGGCATCTCCTCCTCCCTCCCCTCTCAGACTCCTCCCCCTTCCTCTCAGACTCCTCCTCCTTCCTCTCAGACTCCTCCCCTTCCCCCTCTCAGACTCCTCCCCCTCCCGCGCCCGTGTTCCGTACTTAGTCCCAGTTCGGAGCGCTTTCCAGTCCATTATCGCCGCAGCAGTAGCATTGTGAGCAGTGCGAGGAGGAGGACGGGGGACAGAGAGGGAAGGGTACAGTGGGCTGAGGCCTTCACAGCCCGTCCGTCCTCTGGGGGGTTGGGGTAGTGCTTGGGCTGGGTGGCGATGGGCGTGTCTCGGCGCGGACCCCGGGAACACAGCTCGTCGGCGCACATGCCGCTCCCCGATCCGCTGCCATCGTCACCTGTGAGAGAAAATGGGTTATGGTTAAATTTTAAAGAATATGTAAAAATTTGGGACGGGACACGATCTCGCGAGATTAAATTGCCACAAAATTGTTCACAAAGGAGGAAAATTATCTCAAGAGATTTGTTCCCCTATGTCTTAGCCTTTGGTTTGTACAGAAAAGGTCGAAATGCCGGCAAGTTAACCTTTTACTTTTTGGGAAGCTGCTGTTCCAAAAAGTGCTAGAAAAGTGTAAAAATAAATCAAAAATGGTAAGGGACAATATTCTGAACTGAACTACACAATTTAGTCATTATAAATTTATGCCAAATTCTTGTCTTGGAAATTCCGTCTTGTCCAACCCCAGTAAAAATATGTATGATTCAACACTCGAATACTGTTGATGTTACTTAAACCACATGACAGGTTAGACTACTAATTTCAAGAGTTTGCTAAAAATCTTATCTAGTTTCTTTGTATAGTTTTACAATTCTGGTGAAGTCTATAATTTGACTTCCTGGTTGGACAGATATGTAGCGGTAATTCCTTAAAAAGCCCAAAAACATCTAAATCGCACAATCATTTGTTAGAGTAATACAAATAAATGGTCACATATTTACTTTGTTACATACAAAAAGAAAAAAAAAGTGTTCCGTGTGTGTTTTGCCTCTGCATTTTAGATGGAATTTTCTGTGTTGAGGACATATGTAAAGGTGTTACATTTTAGAACTCACCACCTACTTAAGTATAGACAAGCTTGATCCAAACAAGAGAAACAAACTCTTGTACAATTTACAGGAGAACTTTGTGGAGGCTGAAGTGTTGAAAGATTTAGAGTATTTACCAAACAAGGCAGCAAGGGTCTACATGCTGCACCCACTAATTTTGTTCCTATGAATCATTTCCCATGATGCACAAACAGAATAATTCAAATTGAGTCTCTAATTTATGCTCAGTGCCTTTCAAATGTAATCTCATTTTGGATGCCTTTTCGCTTACGGAATGAGCTGCTGACTTGTTTATCTGCTTTAATCCAGACCTTTAAAGTATGTAGTAGGGCTTTGATAAAGTTTGAGGTCTTTAAAGTATAGAGGTCTGTGGTGGAGGCACTCACTGGTGTCCTGGAAGTCCACGTCATTCCCGTTAAGGGCATTCTTGAGCCTGTGCGTCATGATCTTGAGCTGCATGATCTGCTGCCGGATAACCATGTCTGGTTTGGTGATGTCCATCTCCACCTCGGGGTTGTTGATTTGGCTGGCCAGGCCGTCGCCCATCACTTCAGGAAGGTATCTGACACACAAAAGAATATTATTAAATTTCTTTTCCATGTCCATGAGTTAGACTTTTGATATGTAAATAGATGCATGTGTTTGGTCACTTGGGGATTCATTATGATTGTAACTATGCGCATTTGAGTGAACTGAAATCAGTGTTATAAAAAGCTGGATTTTAAAGTATTCCTTTAAAATGTTATGTTAAACTTATTGCTGTCATGCGATTAAAAAAATTGAGAGATTAATTAATTATGATCTGTAATTAATTAATCTAATTAATCTCTTTTTAATCTCACCTAAAAATTGCTGAGAAAAGCCTTCAATTTGAGGTATTTTCATTTAAATTCATTATTGCATTATTGTGGCAGATCAAAAGACTGATATAGAACAAAAAAAAGTGCCTTTATAAAGTCATTTATTGTTTAACAAATCTCTCCAAATTGGTTGTTGAGCCCAAGTCTCCATGAATAAGAAACTGTTTGCTGTAAAGTAGCAAAGACGAGGAAATCTGAACATAATAACTTTTGTCTACTTAAAGACAATAAAAAGTCCAGTCTTTCCTTAACCATATTAAAAATATTATTGATAGAGAAATGCTTTATATATGAGATCACTGGTTTTAGTCCTTGTTTTAGTCCTGGTTTAGACCTGCTTTAGTCCTACTTTAGTCCTAGCTGGTTTAGTCCTGGAATGGGTTAATCCTGGTTTTAGTTCTGGTGTTAGTTCTGGTTTAGTCCTGGTTTAGTTTAGACCTGGTTTTAGTTCTGGTTTAGTCTCTGGTTTAGTTCCTGGTTTAGTCCTGGTTTAGTCCTGGTTTTAGTTCTGGTTTTAGTTCTGGTGTTAGTTCTCGTTTAGTCCTGGTTTAGACCTGGTTTTAGTTCTGGTTTTAGTTCTGGTGTTAGTTCTCGTTTAGTCCTGGTATAGACCTGGATACAGACCTGGTTTTAGTTCTGGTTTTAGTTCTGGTTTAGTCCTGGTTTAGACCTGGTTTTAGTTCTGGTGTTAGTTCTGGTTTAGTCCTGGACTGGGTTAGTTCCGGTTTTAGTTTTGGTGTTAGTTCTGGTTTAGAGGCGCACAGGAGGAAGCGCGGTTTACGGAGCGTACGCGAGAAAACACACGAGAGGACAGTGGTGTCCGCGCAGTAACTACGGAAGGAAACGTGGTCCGCGCATTCTCAGGTTAATGACGATGATGAAGGTGTGTGTTTGTTTGTGTGTGTGTTTGTGTGTGTTTGTGTGTGTGTCCCCTCATGTGGCAGGTCACTATAGGACAGTAGTGCAGACATCATGAGCCTATGCAGGTTGTTTTCACCAGTGACATTTAAGTTGTAGGCGATTTTATATTTGTTATTTTCTTTCATATTTCACGTCGGGAGAATAATTTCTAAGACACGAATGTGTTTTTACCTGTGCACTGCTGCCTCTGTTCTACTGGCTCTTCCACCTCGTCCATTGTGCGAATGACGCCGCCAATGTTAACATGACGTTTGCATCGCTCTTACTGCGCACGTTTTGTGTGGGTTTCCGGCAATGAGTGGAATTACCGAAATAAAAAATGTTATAAATGTGTTTTTTTTGTGTGTGTGTGTGTGTGTGTTGTTGTCCCAAATCTGTTTTTATGTGTTATAAAAACAGATTTTATAATAAAGCAACTGGCATAAAGAAACAGTAAAGTTAGAGATTAAAAATGAGATTAACGGGATTAAAAAACATAACGCGCTAAATATGACTGTAATTAATTAATCGCAATTAACGCGATAATTTGACACCCCTAGTTAAACTATGTTAGCACTCATAGCCATATAATAATGTCCAGTTCTCTGAAACAGAACTTGAATCATTTCAATCTTGCACACAAAACTTGTTCAGTATGAATGTAAAAAGTATGAATGTTTAGTTTTTTAGTGGTGTTTGAGGTATTTTAATTTAATTGGAAAATATTTTCATTTTGCAAAAGTACTGTGTTACGATAATAACCATTATGTTTTATGGTTCAGATTCCTCAGTGCATAGCTGTTGGTGAGTAGTACCTGGCTCGGCTCATGCCGTTCCAGCACTTATCCTCTGCTCCTGTTCCCGTGGCGATACGGTCACTGCACAGGACAGTGGGCAGAGTCACCCAGTACGGCTGCATGTTCCTCAGCCTCACTATCACATCTGACACCTACAACACAACATCTGCACATCAGCTCAGCCTTTCAACAGGGGTCAACAAGCACCCAATATTGTCTACATTTTTATTCATAAAAATAACTAATCTCTGGCTATGCAGTTGTTGGAGTAAAAAGCTGCCTAAAAGTGAACCTAACAAATGATACAAAGGGCATGAAAAGCAGTCAGAGAACTGACCAAGACACTGAGTGTGCTGGAGCTGGGGCCCAGGCTGTCCTCCACGGTGATCCTGGCTCTCTTCACCTCCTCCTCTGCTCCTGTGCCGCTGCTGCCCCCTGTCCGCAGGTCACCACATTTCTGGAACAACTACAGGGACAAGGAACAAGACTCATGCATCTTCATTAGAATAAAAATGGTGCCAAACCATTTAGTCTTGTTTTTGACCCTGTCATTAGCCTGCTTGTTATGTGTGCAATATTCAACATACAGCTCAACTGAAGAGGGGAAACACCATATACATATTGCATATTTCCATTTATGTGCAGTTTTAACATCACGTCTTTGGATAAGTGACAATAACTCATATACCAATTCCCTGCTTCCAATTTACTTTCATCTGTGCTTTTGCAAGAAAACTTTGAACATTTTGGCCAAACTTTATCTGCTAACCAACTGGGACAAGTTATGAGAGAAATTTACATAACCCGGGAGTGAATGGCACAGAACAGCGAGCGAATGAATCACACTTTTAGAAAGAACTACGTGTCCCCATTGGCCTTAACGTTTTATAAACAGAGCTCAGGAATACGCTCGAAAACTGCAGTCAATCTGTCATGCAATCTGGCCTGTTTACGGCAGCATCAACATCTGAGCCTTCGGACGCAACCGCAAACTAATCCTGTCTTTAGCCTGCAGTCATTTCTCTAAAGCACAGCGGTTCAGAATAGGTTAAAGTGCGTACAGAAGCTAAGAGGTTGGTGCTCGCAATCAAAGTGAAAATGAACATATGGCTCAAAAGGGAGGAGTCACTATGTTACAGAACAGAATTCGTTTTTCACTCATTATTGTAAAAAGGTGTTTAATCCAGTCTAATTTACTAAAATATATTGTTATTACAAATTCATGCTTGGTTGTTAAAAACATTTTCATGACATAATACAAATACTGAGAATCATCAGTTGATTCATTTAATTAATATTTTTAGGTGAAAACGAATATACAGCAGCCATGTAAATATGTACCCATATAACTGAACAGACATTCCCACACAGAAAATGATTGTCCATTTGTCCTGTACCAGCTGAGAAGCAGACATCGGCTGACTAGAGATGAGTAGCAGTAATGATAGCATTGACCAAAGCTGCAGTGATTACCGTATTGAATAGGGTCAAAGGTCGTGGTGCCAGTCCATGGTATGGCTCACAGTAGCGCGGCACAGAAGCGCCTTTGTTTCCTATCCATCCAATCTCAACTGTTTCCCACCCTCACCAAACATCAGTCAGACTTTAGTGCTGCAGTGGCTTTTAAGGCCCACATAAAAGCGTAGCTCAAACACATTAGGTAGTGAAGAGGAGCTGCAGCACACCCAGGTCTCACATTCACTAGTTTGGACTTAAAACAGGGGAGCTGATGTGTTACTTTTTCAATTAGGTGTTTGCACAGGCATGTTCCAAATCAGCCTAGATATATTTGTTGAGGCACATACAGAAATAGAATCAGGTTTAAAGGTTTAACTTAACTGAGGGAGAGAGTCAATGCATTGCACAGCTGTTACTGTGTGAAATGTAGCCTTCTATGCCCCTATGCTGTTATACTCCTAACCGTTGCATGACCTTAAGATTTATTTTTCATATTTCATTCAGAATGACTATTCAACTATTCATCTATTCAACATTATTAAGATCAAGCAAAAAGGAGAGTACTCGTGCATGATGTGAGCAGATCATATTGTGGGATTCTTGTACCTTGCTGTTAATGTTTTCGATATTGTCCATCATGGTGTACATGGCTTCTGAAATGCGAAAAGGCAGAGACAGGACAACCACATCCACTCCGGTCGGCCCTTCAAAGCGATTGGCCACTTGTATTAGTGTGTCTGCAAAACACAGATTGCAAGTGAGAGTTTAGTAACATATCACTGGGCTCATTCCAGTTACTAAATTAACAGTGTGCTTAGCTCCATATGCTGCTGAGGTGCCCACCTGCCAGATGCCTCCACTCGGAGTTGAGGTCAGCCTGGTTGGCGAGGCAACCCTTCATGACGTTGGCGCAATAGTTGGCACAGGGGCGAGCAGAGGCCATGCCGCGACAGTGGGGGCAGTACGTCATCTTCATCATGGCCCGCATGCATTCCTGGCTCAGCTGCACCTGGACACAAGCAGGAAGTAACCATACATCAACGACCGCCAACACCTGCCTAAATAAAAATTCTAAAAGTCTAATGTCATCATAATGCAAACTCGTTAAGGCAATTTATGTTCAGTGTGAAATCTGAAGCTGGTCATCAGGGCTAATTCAGTTTCCTTGCCTTTCCTTTTGCCATAGTTGTAAATCGTGTGCTTACAATGGGAAGAGAGCCAATCAGAAATAATCCATCTCTCTCCTATGTTGCCCTTAAACCTCAGTGGGTAGAATTTACAACTGAGGAATAAAGGAACTGAGGAGATAAAGAACAGAACTGAGATGTGTGCCTGTGCTTCCTTCCTCTTTGTAAGAGGGAGAAGTTAAAAGGTGAAAAGGTATCATTAAAATGGCAGGAGAGCCAATAGAGGACATTGTTAGTCGCTGTGCAAAAACATTTGACAATTGATCTTTTATTGTCACAGAAAACAACACCCAGATACTAAAAGACACTAAAACACATCATTTGCACAAGTACAGATATCAAGTACTGAAGTATTTCCACAGTATGAAAATCAAGTTTAAAATGTTAACAGGCAAGTCTATAACATCCATAAGCTAATAGTCACACTTCTAATTTTAGCCACACTGTTACATGATAAGGGAAAGAGTGATTGAAGCATGTTGAAATGTCCAATTTCCTCAGTTCTAGGAGTGTATAACCATGTACATGTCTACAAAGTGACAGACTTAAAGTAGTGGGAGGTCATTTCCCAGAGTGACCTTTTTTTAAACTTCTCTCCTTCCCATGGACTTTTATTCTGTACAGTTGCTGCGGTAACCAGTTTGAGAGAATTTGCTTTTGGTCTCCCAAGAGATGAAAAGGCCCCAGACATTCATGGGCTACAAGTATTCCTCCTCGCCGCATCCTCCTTCCTGCCTCCTCCGATTCTCCCATCCCACAAGGCTGCTCCCCTAGGAACAGGCCTTCGTGCGTGAAAAGTGAAACTGGGTTAATACCAGTAAGCTCTGTTCACCGGAGAGTTGGGCTCTGCATACAGAACCAGGAGGAAGTGTGTGCTCGTGTATGTGTGTGTGTATGTGTGGAAGAGGCCCAGCTACGCATACAAAAGTGCTCCGAGCTGACATCTGGGCCAGCCTGATGCTTTTCCTGGAAACTGCTCTTCCAACAGAAAAGTCTGTTGCTCAGATCAGATTTACTATAATCTACACTGAAACAGGATAAGAATAGGAATCACAGGGACACTATAGAACACTTGACAGAAGTCGTCACGGTGACACGTTTTTGGGGACGTTTCTCAGGTTATCACAGTTAAATTCATGATTATACAATGATTTGCATATCGACTCAGCACGGTTATGCCAGATACCACCATTCCTTCCGTTATTTAATCAGGCTTTTTGAATAGAACAGTCTCTGTCTTCTAATTTGCGGTCTGGAAGATTACACTGCACTGATTAGTTTTTATTATGAACCTTGTACTCAATATTCTAACTTTACAAAACAACAATTGCAATGTCATTTTTTTCCCCCTGATACATCTCCTGCCTCTGCTATGTGCTAATTGTATTAAATAACGACATATTAACAGATCATTAAACATCCCACTGTTGCCAGCGGCGGGCTTTGTAGTGTTAACTGCACATGATCATTAAAAACTGACTCTCAGTGGGATATGACGAGGCGGATCAGCGTCAAACAATCTCCAAAGTGGGATGAGTCAGAGTGTGTCTCCGCCCTCCATTAGCCTGTTGCTCATTAGCCCAACATGACTCAGACCCAGGCCACATTTTTGTGAAGAGGGAGAAGTCCACAAATCTATGAGGATGATCCACAGAGCAGAAGGGGGTTGGGCTGTGTTCCTAATCAAACTCTAGTTATGAAGAGAGCTGTATTAATCTTACGCTGAGGTTACATCAGCAGTACAGTATTAACGCGGGGATCGTGACATCAAACACTGCCAGGCGAAGCTAATTGGGGGCGGATGCTGACAACTTCCTCTGTAACCTTGGAGTTGTGGTGAGGCCGGGAGAGCGCGGGGAGGGGCTTCTTCAAATGAGACTGTAATAGGACTCATTGACCTCGGCTGACAACTAATCATCATTTTCATTATTAGCTGATTAAGTTGTCATTGGATCATCAGTCCTGCACAGTTGTGTCCTTGACAGAGAAATACGCAGTTGTGCAAGTACGAAATGATGCACTTCCTCACTTCCTTAAGATCAATTCCTCCTGTAGATAGTGGTGGAATGTAACAAAGTTAAGTAATGTACTTAGAATACATTTTAGATATCTGTACTTTACTTAAGTACATTTTAAAGTGGATACTTTTTCAGGTATCTGTACTTTCTACTCCTCTATATTTTTGAATTTGTCTGAAAAGTTAGTTTTTTGTATTATTGTCTGAGACCTACTGAAAAGGCTGAGGGTTTGTTTTTAACACACATTAACACTTAGTCTGAGCAAACAAAAAACACAAATAAAAACTGCGGAAACTGAGGAAAAAACAATTCAGTTGTTTCTGTTCAACAATAATAAATACAAATCATTATTAAAATCACTACATTTGAAGCTTCATTAGATCTCAAAATCTGTACAAAATAAGTTTACTTTTTAAAAGGTTTAAGAGATTTATCATGTGATACTTCTGAGTTGTTGTTTTTTTTACTCCAGTATCTGTACTTTTACTTAACAAAATCCTTCCACTACTGCCAGATTATCCTGCTCTTAGGATCCAAATTTGATATATTTGATTTTGAAGTAGAAAATAAACAATATAATTCATCGTGATAAAAAAACGGGGAGACAATAATCGTTCATGCATTTTATATAATCTTGAGAATCACCATTTTATCGCCAGAATGTGCTGAAAAAATATACTTATCCATGTGGTTTTCTTCTAGAACATTGTTGTTGATATGCGATAATGGAGACAACAAATTTCTGTATCACCCCATGCCTACTTTAAATCTTTAAAGCTGAGGTACACAATTTTCAAATGATAAAAAGATAAAAAGATTGGAAGAGTTTAAAGCTTCCACTGACCAACTTGTTTCTGGCTCTCACAAAACTTTTGGCACATCATTATGCATCAATCTGTGGGCACGAGCACAGCTTTAGAACTGATTTATCAGATGGTTAAAGAATCCCGGTGAGCTTCCATATAACCAACCCACTCTCATCTCATCTCCAAACATACAAAGCAATGGATTGGATACTTTTTCAGGTTTGCAATCATTAGTCAGACCACTACACTGTCTGGATGTAATTGTCAAACATTTTGTCACAAAGTGCTGCTTATATAACAGACAGACATTGGGTCAAGAGTTGATGAAATGTACATTTGTGATTCTTGATTCACTTGTTACCATGCAACATTTGATTTTCGACATAACCTCAGAAATGCTAAGCTCTGGTTAGCCCTGTATCTTTGGGTTTGGTCTTTCCCGCTGTCTCCCCTCTAATTAGTAAGGATATATGGTCGACCTCTCCCCCTGTGTTCGGCCGCCAGCTGATCCAGACTCTTCGCCTCCAGAGCCAGTTATGCATGTGGCACGTGGCCTACTTCCCCACTCCCCCTCCACTGGGAATAAAGCTGTCCGCAGGGAGGAGAGAGGAGAGAGTTAAGGGCATGACAGCAACTACTGGAAAGAGACGGATTTTAAGACTAGGAAAAAAACGAATAGCACTTGGTAAAGTCTTGATAAAAAGCACTGGTGCCTATAGTAAAGGTGCTTTCAAATGCAGCCCGAAGACCCAGACCCAAGAAGAAGTTTAAGTGTCTGACAAATGTGAAATGTTACTTGTTGTGTTACTTGTGTTGTTGCTTTTTCATTAACAATATACCCAATACTCAGATTTGTTCTTATCTTCAAAACATTCAAATATTCCAGAAAATTGTCATTGTAATTTGCAAGTCATTACAATACTGAATTTGGACCTTCTCACCCCATCCCAATTTAATGATGTGTGCCATTATTTCTTCTTTTTATGGGAGCAGTTCAATAGCGTGTCAGCCATCTAAAAGCTAGGAGTCTAAAAATAGGTTTGGTTTGTCTCTTTACAGCGGAAAAAAATCAATGAAGGAATCAGATACATTTATGGTGGAAGCTTTTAATTTGTACCACATTCACACCATTTCGAGGGCAGCCCAGGACGGACCTCCACAATCCCATGAAAAATTCTTTGCACACAAAAAATCCAAAGGACGATGAGAAGATAGTTATTCTTCCAGAGTTTTAATTTCCCAGCGTTCTGTCACTCCTGCATTTGTTCCTATCTCTGGCATTTTAATCTGCATAAGCAAAGGACACTGCTAAGGGCAGACACCCCAGTTATGAATATAAAGCAGAACAGTTGGTCAAAGTCTATAACACTTCAACATAATAAGTGTGTTTGCTGTGCCGGGATTTCATTCTGTAAAGCTCCAGTATTCACATAGCCACGCTATAATGTGGCTGCTGTTAGAAAATGTATGGATTTAATACAAAAACCTGTACTTTTTTGTTTTCAGAATCTCTGCTATAGTAACACATTTGCAGTGTTACAATACATAAAACACATACAACATTGTAAAGCATGTTCTTACATAATGTCATTTGTTTGCAATTTCATCTGGGTGAGATTTTTACAATTTATATAAACCAGACATGTTTTCACAAGGGAAGAATTTTTTAAACATTATTTGTGTACTTTGCCATAATAAAAAAATGAATGCTTAATGGAAAATTTCCCTCAAAATTCAATTCAGGTAAATGTGTAACTTAGACCCCGTTTACACTGAAACGAATCGGTGTATCACTGTATCAGAAACAATTTGCGTCCACACATCGTCATTTCTGTGTCCGCAATCGTTCCTTATCTACATAGCATATATTTTTGCATTTTACAGAAACAAAACTGGCTAATTTGCATAAAAAGAGTGCTCAAAACAGCTCGCTATTGTGTAGAGGACACAACTCAGTGCAATATATGTGGTCTGATCTGTGCTTCTATTGCACTGGAGATGGTTCATGTTAAACTTTTCAGAGATTATACACCTAAAGGTCATACGCATAGACCATATATATGAATATATGCTAGCCTCTTAGCGTTTTGGCGGTGAATTAGCTACTTCACAGTGCATAGACCTACATCAGCGTTTTCAGGTGTCCACACAGTGCCGGATCAGATCCGTACTGAGGCGGCACCAGATTGTTCCATCTCTGGAGCTGTTTTCCATCGGATTCTAATACATACTAGTGTGAATGGGGCTTTAAAGAAGCATGTTTTCTGGTGAGGGTCCAGCCACCTGCTTGTCTCCATGGAAATTTGAATGGAATGTTCTAGCCAGGCTGGCGCCACCTAGTGCCTCCGCTCAATTTCATTTCTCTCCAGTGACTAGGTCAGGAATTGGAATACACTAAACTGTTTGCAAGAACCCCGGAAGTGTGAGTCCGGGCACCAGTTTGGTGAATTTTACCAAGAGGAAAGACGTTATTGCCCTTCTTCTTATGGGATTTGGGAAAAGCTTAGCTCCATTACCGGCGCATTACATACATCACAACCAAATAGCAGTGATTGATTAAATTGAAAAAAGTACCCGCCTACTGTCCAGTGAACGAATTCTAATACTGCGAGGTCAGATGGTTTTAATGAAATGAAACCAGCTGATGAATGAGGCTAGGAATGTTCTATACCATGTCATTATTTGTTTTTCTCATAGCAAAACAAATACATTGAAAAACATGCACAAAGATTCACTTACATTTTTCAGTCCAATCTTAGATCTTTACTTTCTACCACTATGCACCATCATAAATCATCCATTACTTTTCTTTTACTGTTTGTTTTGCTATATATATACATTCACTCCACTTATCTTACAGACAATCTTGTTAATTTCTGCCAGCAGTCTTTAATGGGCATTCCACAGAGCATCTCCAACTCCTTTAGCTGCTCACTTGCCTGTAATTGAACTGTCATCAGCTGTATCCACTGTACTCCTCATGTTTTCTGATCCTGCACCCTGGGACCTTGCTGCAGGCAGAGGCACATCTTTGGAGGCCTTCTTCTCCCTCATCTTGATGCAGTCTGCGAGCTCGGCCAGTACCACTCGCATCCATCACAGCGAGCATTGATCCATCTCTCAAACCCAACATGTGGCCTTGTGCGCAGACATCTCCACCGCCTACTTTGTCATGCTTTTTTAACGTTTAAAACATGGTCTGACCTTGCAATATTTCAGCTGGCTAAACTTGTAGCATTTGTCTGTGTCCTTAAAACTCCATGGGAGAGGTATCAGATGACGGGAGGGTTTGTCAGAGACGCACCGGGAAAATTTATTCAGTACAAAGTTGTAACAAATTATAAAGGTAAATTTTTCTTGTGGAGGGTTCGCTACCTACTTGTCTCCATGGAGATGTTATTGCTTTACCTGGAATGTTCCATAGTAAGACACTGAACATATCCATTTATTTTGATTTCTATTGCTCAAAAATACAATAGTTCCTTCTGTGAATAGAGGCGACTCTCCACAGATCTGAATTGTAATGCAGTGTAATGCTGTAACCTGCTTGACTTCCTTGTGACAGATAGGTGACAGGTTTAATCTATACTGTGGAACATTCTAGACAAAGTTATAGTATATATAGACAAAGTATTTCCATGGAGACAAACAGGTGGCCGAACCTCCACTAAAAATGTTGCACAGTGCATCTTTAAAGTATTATTTTACACCGTCAAGGCTATAAACTCAGTCTGGACTTTTTTGTACATGGAAAGGGTCAACAATAAATAAAATAAATAAAAAAACTACTTGTGGTACTAGCCCTTAACAGCTTTATTACCATAAGTCATGTACAATAATTCCTAACCTAATACTAACATGCATTCATTTTATTAGGAAATATTAAACACCAAATGAACCACTTTATACAAATCAACAGTTAGATGTTAACAAGCGGATCCCAAAATAGAGTGTTAACATAATTTGTGCAATTACTAATTTTTCATGTTATTAGATGCAGAATAGCACAGATACATGCTCTATGGGAGTGCCCTCTGCCCTCTCCAATATGAACCAAAGTATACTAAACTGCATGCAGGGCTGGTGGCCACGTGACCTGCCCAGTCGTCTAGGCTGTGTGTACTTGTGTGTATGCTTGTGTATATACTGGGGGACAAAGGACAAGTGGCATATTTAAACAAGACTGCTTTTCGAGTGCCAAGTACTGGGCTGGTGACTTGTGTGTGATTTTGGCAATGAGGAAAGAGCCAAGCATGCCAGCGATCAAACTGTAGAAAGAGTGGATGGTGTAGAATGCAGCAGGGGGCTGAGGGGATGCTGGGAAGGGTCAGTGGTGGGGTAGAGGCAGTGGTAGAGCAGCGGAATAGTTTTGGTTTGTTTTTGTCTAAAGCGGTTTGAGTTTTGGTTTTGAAGTCTTCGCTCACACTGTTTTTGTTTTTATTAATATTTTAGGTTATGGATTTGTTTGTGTTAAAGGTACATGGTGTAAGTTCTCAGCAGGGTCCGCCAACTGCTTGTTTCTATGAAGATTGCCTCAAATGTTCCACAGTACAGCATTAATCTCCCTGGAGAAAGCAGGCGGTCATACCAGGTCAATTTACTGGCCAGATCTGTGGCGAGACAAACTCTAAGAATAGGTATTTCAAGCTACTTTTGAGTAGTAAAGACACTCCTAATGAAACGGATGCATTTAATGACAGATATATGTAATGCCCTACTGTGGAGCATTCCAGGCATTAATATCTGAATAGAAGCAAGCATGTGGCTGGCACCCCTATTTACTTTTGTCCTGTTGATAGAATGAAATCGTCTTTTGAAATGGAACCTACCTGAATGACTGAATGACTGGGGGGATTATATATATGTGTGTGTGTGTGTGTGTGTGTGTGTGTGTGTATATGTATGTATATATATATATATATATATATATATATATACATATATATACACACACACACACACACACATATATATAATCCCCCAGTATCAGTCATTCAGGTAGGTTCCATTTAAAAGACGATTTATTCTATCAATATATATATATATACATACATATACATATACATACATATATACATATATATATACATACATATATACATACTATATACATACATATATATACATACATATACACATATATATACATAATATATACATATATATATACATATATACATACATACACATATATACATACATATATACACATATATACACATAATATATATATATATATATATATATACATACATACATACATACATACATACATATATATATACATATATACACACATATATATATATGCACACACAAAATATATAAATAAATATATAAAAAGTTTTCTCTCAAGAGTTCATGGATGAGTATGGAGAGTTTTTGTCGATGCGTGCTACCTCACTAGCATGATTTCTCTGTGATGCGGCAGGGATCGTAACCTGGCTCCTGTCTGCTGCTCCGAGGGGACTATTTCTTGGGGGATGCATTAACCCTCCCCGCGGCGCACACAGACGTTCTTCAGAGTGCACCTGACATTATGTGGTCACAGGAGCTGATTGGCAGATCCCTGGGCCGTGCTTTATGGAGCCACTCATCTGTACCGACATGCATTTGTCATAGTTATAGGACCGGAGTGTGAGTGTGCATGTGCATGTGCTGTCATATGGAGTAATGGGACGACTGAGGAGAGAGGAATTAGTTAACATCGCTATCTGTATAGTTCAATAGGCAGTCATTTTCAGACACACCACATCTGTTAAGATGTGTATGTTAATTGTGTAGTGACTTTCTCTTGATGCTGACATGAGATGGACTTAGGGCAGTGTAACTAACATTTTTAACTAATTGAGGCTCAGGAATTCACAATTAAAAGTAATTGTCATTGATCAACTTGGGGCTTTTTAATCAACATGGTACTCAATTTCTGACATTTACAACTTAAATTTGGATGTCTGTCATGTTCATGGAAGTAATACTGAAAGTCAGATTTGTCTGTTATAAATGGAAGAGAAGATTAGGATCAATAAAGGCAGTGAGATTAATAACAGTTTGAAGGATTGCAATTGGCAGATACAAAAGCTGCAAGAAGTAAAATCATGTCTTGTGTAAACAAGAAAATATAGCAGTAATATGAATAAAACCTGCCTACACCACTGCAGTTTAAACAAGAATTCCATGTTATTCTTAACAACTGTTCTGTTAAATTGTTAAATCCTACTGAAGCCAGTTTTTCTCAGAATTTCTAATGCTCTAATGCGGGAGCATTCCACTCAAGTCGACCCACGGAAAGACAATTGAGGATGGGGGGAGGGGCGCAGTGGCAGCCCGACTCTGTCCCACAGTCATACGGCCATTCTGGACTTTTCCAGAATGTACAGACTGTCAGTCTCCCCCTGTCCCCAGTCATATTTGAGCCCTTACCTGTGACACCCTGCGCACCACCTCTCCACTGGTCATCAGCCCCTGGACAAACGAACGCGATGCCACAAACGTCCGAGTGACTTTGAGCTTCATCTCACGGGGAGTGTCTCCAAAGGGCCGTAACGTGTCCATCTGCTTGGACACGCACTCCAGGTAGTCCTCCCCTACAATTAAGTTTAACATTAAAGTCAATTGGTTTCTATGTTTTTTCATAATTAGCACTAGTATAATCTTATATAGTATGGTTCATTTGCCTAGGGACTGCAGATGGAAACTAGCTTTAGCTAAATCTGGTGTAAAGTATTTCTTCTTTTATGAGGTTGATGTGTTTGCACATGGTTCCTGTTAAAATAAACCAATTAACTCAACTAAACTCACTACTATATTTTAATGCTTTCACCCAGACTGAAAACATTTGGTTTACGTGTGTGCGATTTCTGGTAATAGCTGGGAGAGAGGAGCATGTTGCTTTATATTGAAGGCCACTTAAAACACTGATAGATGAAGATTTATGGATGGCAATGGCATTAAGGCTTACTTAAATAGGACTGAATTAAACAAAGCTCTGGGTATGTTTGTGAGGTGTGAATAACATTATAACAAGGATAAAACAAAGGCTTTGCATAATATGTCTTGCATTATATCAGCCCCGAAGTTGAAGTGTTTGTGTTAAGATTTGATTAAAATATTTTGTTGTTTCAATGTCCACATGTCAAAATACTAACATTTTGAACTTGATTTTATTAAATAGGTAGAGCAAGACCATTCAAAGCTATTTACATGTTGTATTTTCACTAAAGTAAGTAGTTGGTATTGATTAGTATCTGAGTGTGAATGTATACAGTATATACAGTACCTATGTTGTACTGCTTGTTGGCATGGTGGAAGACCCTCTCCATGAGCCGGGCCCAGAACTCATTGAGCACCTCCTCCAGGTTGATGTTGGAGCCTCTGTAGTAGTGCCTCAGGTCTGTATACAGGTCTGAGAACAGAGGTGCATTCTGGGAGTACAGCGTGCCCCATGTCGACATCATCATCTCATGTAGCGAGGTGGACGACTGGTTCAGCAACTCCAGGAAGTAACCTACAAAAAGTGACATTCACATTCAAATCTTATCACAGTGTATTACGCCATTGAAACCGCTTTCTACGAGCTGTTCCCTCTGTGTGCAGTATTCTTGAATCGTTTGTCTTGAATCTGGGTGCCATGCTGTTTTATGGGGAGAGATGAGCTAAAGTTGGAGAGAGGAGAGCTGCTGCTCCACTGGGAGATGTCAAAGAACTCAGAGCACATTATATAACCCCCTGCATATATGAGGGTTACCTGCTAGTGTGTAGACCTGGCCAGGAAGGTAAAGAAAAAATGTTACAGATTTAATCTAACAATGTTAGAAGGATATTATTCTATATATATATATTCTAAGTGTTGATGTAAAAAAAAAAAAAAAAAAGTAGTAAGAGTATCTTATGGCAATCGCAGAAAATGTCTTTTAAAACAAATGTCACTTGGTTAATGACCGACTTCATGAAAGCTTGCTTGATACAGCATTGACAACTTGATGTTGTGATGGTAATAAACTAAATTAATCATTGCTGACTGGGTAAATAGGAGGTAATATATATGATGTGCCACAGAAGTAGAAAGCACATTTTGAAAAAGGAGAGCAATGAAGCTAAATAGGTGTCTGTATGTTTACCACAACTACACTTCAATTTGTGGACCTTGCCATAGATTTAAAAATATTTAAATTCTCGACCACTGAACTGACAACTGAAATATGTCAAAAACATCCCTTATAGAAAACATAGCCACAATAAATTTTTTAATGACAAGTCAGACTAAGTTACATTAAATGAGTCTGCAAATAATTGAAATGACATTTCAATGTCAATATAAATACCAAATGCATTAGGCTTAGAAAGCAAAAGAGACGGGCAAAAGCAGCCTATTTATTCTCTTCAGTGTACACAACAGGATGACTAATCTGCAGGGAAACACAATCTTCTCTTAAATGCAGCCCCTATCGTAAGCGGTAGCACCACTGAAGCATTATGGGTAAAGAGAGACTCCTCTAAGGTGCATCCACTGTATTCATGAATCACATTGTTTTTTAAATGAATCTCTGCTTTCTATGGCCAGAGGCATAAACATTTTACATCCGCTTGTGTGTCGTCTACAATGTTTATTCAAATGGGGCGTGCTTTCTGCCAAGACCGCGGCTGGAGCAGGTTCAGTCCAGTAACAATAGCTGTAGTTCTGAGCCCAGACTGTCCATCCAACCCAGAGCCCCACAATGCAGCAGCCCCACAATGAAGCAGACCTAATGCAGGGGCTTGTGGGTTTGTTTTGGGCAAATGTTTATTTCTCGCGTGTCTTATCTCCGTCAACCACAAAAAAGCAGCAATGTTTAGGTACATCACTGCAGAAAATAGGAAATGGGATGAAAAAGGAGTGCTTCAAAAATACAGTTTTTGTAGATGTGGATATGCGAGATGATATATATGTGATTGATTCTGTCCTTGGGCAAGACACTTCAACCTTTAATTAAAATGTATTGCATTTGTTATAACCTATGTTCCAAAGTATGTTTTTTTTTTTTTTTTCCAAGATGACATGCCACCTCCAAAAAGTAATCTACTATTCCTTTATGTTTCCGATTCTACATATGGACTAATTACATCAGAGACCGCTATGGTCATATAATATAAGCTAATTGTGCCCCAGTAGTTTCAGCCTTGGCCTTATTGCATCCCGTCCTCCTCCATTCTGTATTCATTAGCAAACACCAGACGGTGAGCTCCTCTTTAGCGCCACTTTCCTCTGGCCTTTTTTGGATATTGATTTTAAAAATGTGTATAGCCTTAAGAATTGAGGACATCTCGGCGAACACTTTCTATTTTAATTCAACCATCAAAGGAGTGAAATGTGACAAAGGGTTAGAGTGGCACGCTGGCATTTCCAGAAAGAGAATACTTGAGACATTTACCTCATCTGTAATGTTCTTCTCGCTGGAAACTTCAAGTGACACTCCTTAAGTTTTGGAGGCCAGAACATTAGGTCACATTCTTGTCTCCAACCACTTGTCTTTGGTCGTTGTATTCAAGTGGATTTACAAAACCACTTTCTCTTTATTCAACAAATATAAATCCATTTACAGAAACTCCAGACACTTTACTGCCGTGCTGGCTTCTGCCTAATTGCGTCCTAATGCTTTGATTCTCCGGTTTAAAAGGCGGAATTAATGATTTGTGTCTGCCAGACTGTGGGTTGGCTTCATGAATTCACAATTTTCTAACAAAGTCATTTGGTTAAACAAATAAAGACATTTACTCTGAAGTATATGGTCCAGTTTGAAGACTATAATTACCTTGAGGACTTTGTGGATGATGAGTTTCTGTTATCCTTGGAAAAAGTAGTAACAGCTTTATGTCTATTAACTTTTTCAGAACACTGCTAATTCAGAAGGATTTTGTGCACACTAAATATAGTCTCAATTATTTTTAAATAAGTTTGTGGCTTAGGATGATAGCGATTCACTCACTTATGTTTGAGAGAACCTGCATTATTAGTTAGTCTACATCTGAAATAAAACAACTCCAGGTATGTTTGTGATGAGGACACAACATCATAAAATACAGTAACATAAAACGGATCCTTTAAAGACCAAGATTTTCCATTGGATCTTTTCATTGGCACCTGGGTACTCTTATAATGAGCACTCTAGTTGGAAAAGAGTTATGCTATCTTCTTCTATCCTACATGCAAACTATACGAACAGCAGATGATGTGACAACCTAAGAAGAAACAGCAAAAAGCAGAAATGTTCTTGAATTCAAAGCTGAAACGTATGTTCCCGTCAGCGTAAAATTGAAAGGAGAAACAACAAACAGCAGTGACATACATTTATAGCGATCCTGGCAGGAAAATTATAGTTACAGGATTTGGCTGCAGAGTGGCATAGACTAGTGTGGGCTGCCTGTGTCGATTTGTGAATTAATATGCTGAGAAGAGTGAGAAAGGGAAAGAGAAAGGGAGAGAGCAAGAGACGCTAGTGTGTGTCTGGTGGTGGTTAGGCCGTCAGACTTCCATGTTGGCCCACGGATCTTTCCCTCAGTCCCCGACCTCCTGTCACTCACACGGCTCCAAACTGCTCTCAGGGCCCGGCTTCAAAGCAGACAGGGAAATCTAACTGTTGCTCTCACAGGCTCTGAACGCTGCTTTGACGAGTCAGCAGAGGAGTGCGTGGGTGTGTGTGCAGGTATATTTATCATACTGCATGGACCAAAATCTGTACACACACTCACATCATGGGGACCTGTTAAACTTAGTGGGACAAGGTCAGGTTAACAGGGTAAAGTTAGGGTTCAGCTTGGCAACAATTAACAATTAAAACGAAAATACTTTATTATTAAATCCAGATGCCAGATTTTTTTTGTTTTCATTAATAATACACTTTATTCGTAAGTGACGAAGCCTTCAGTGACCATATTTCAAACTGTATTTGGTTGATAATGCATTAAAAAAGTTGCAACAGAAATAATAGTTTGACTAGTCGACAAATTGCAAAAAAATTCTGTGACTGATGACTATTAAATTAACTTTGTAGTGACTATGGTAAAAGTCAGGATCAGTCTCAAGGAAACGACACGTCAATTCAAAGTCCCCACAAAGCATGAAAACCCACCAAAGCATGTGCATGTGCGTGTGTGCACGGATGCTGTGACGACAGGTGTATGTGAGGATCACATGGATGCGCACACAGGCTACATGGTAGAGATGCTGTGACAGGTGCAGTGCAGCTTTAATCCCCTGCAGCGCACAGTCTATGACTGACTTACACTGAACATGAGCCATGTCTGGACAGGCTCAAACACACACACACACACACACACACGCGCGCGCGCATGCACAGACACAACTTATAAAGTCATGATGTAATTCTAGTTTATCATTTATACTACATATTGAACTCTTATTTTTTGCTTAACAAATAGAATGTCAACACATTTTTGAATAAGAGTAGTAACCAGCAAGTGTCAAAAAGGGGATGAATAAAATCTGATTTTTATACTACCAATGTTTTTACACACTTTTTCAGTCAAAGGTTTTTCTTCATTTTCATATTTATATTGTAGATTCTCACTGCATGTATCAAAAGTGTGGATGGACAAACATGGAATGGAGTAAATAAAAAGTGACATAACATATGTATTTTAGATTCTTCAAAATAGGCAGCCTTAGCTTTGCTGTGATGTGCACACTCTTGGCATTCCACTAATACACCCTGACAGGGCCCACCTGTGAAATGAAAACCTTTTCAGGTGACTTCATCGTGAAGGTCATAGGGTGAGCAAAAGGGTGGCTATATACAAGAGATGGGGTAAGGAAATACAGTGCAAAGACAGACATGTGAGCTTTAACATGACATAAGGTTATCTGATACATAAGTATATGTTTCCTGTACATGAGTATATAGTATGGTATGAATGTTGTCTGCTGTATCATTTAACTGAGTGAGCCGAGCATGTAGCCTGTTTGAGTATCAGCTCATCTGTCCATGCAGTAAATCTAATTTTTGGAAAATGTATAGCCTACACAAAGCTTCTTGCATTATGGCCAGTTAACCTGGTACATTTACAAATATAGAACAGATTAACATTTAAATAATCATGCATTTTATTCAGAACATTACAATAAAATAGCCCAGTCCCCTCTGGATCCAGAAATGAGTGTAAAACGCTTGCTACCCGCTGCAGTGTGACAGGAGGTGGGCAGGAGGTAGGCAGGCCTGAGCAGTGCCACACCAGGCTGTGCCCTTCACTTGAAGAATGGCTGTCATTAGGCTGACACAATGCCCCGATGTGCCCACTCGCTCCTGTGTGTACCACTGACCTTTCCCATTCCTCTCATTTGTCTTCAAAGAGTAAGCTTCCCTTCTACCCACAATGCATCCTGCTCCTGAGTCCTCTATCACTCATGGGCCTCACCTCCAGCTCCCCTGCCCCCCCAAAACGACTGATGACAGAGCGCTGGTCATTCCTTATGTGGTCAGAGGGGCAGCAAATATTTGGGGTTTTGGACAG